GGCAGCGCTCCCCTGCACCCCTACACCCCACGCTGAGCTTGGGCTAAACCTTCCCGGATCCCCACGCGGATTTACCAAACTGTGCTCCTTCCTTATTGGGCCGAGGTGCATTTTTAAAAAGTGTGGTTGTCGCCATGGAGTTGATTTGAACTCATAATGATCCCAGATTAGACTAGAAACTGCCATCTCGTGCGTGTTCTCTAGGCTTTAACTTTTCTATTTCTACGTCTGGCTTTTGCGGAGTTGTTGGGTAGGCTAGAACTGCCAACTTCTGGTAAGCATCACTAGGGCGATTTAAGTAACAGCTGTAAAACCACAGCTCAGGGCTGTGAGTAAAAGGGTGACTGCATCTAGAATGCTAGATCGCCTTTGGTCAGCAATCACTGCAACTGGCAACTGATTTTAATCCATCTGATCTTTAAAAACCCAACACGACGGGTGTTAGAATTATGAGCTCCATTTTCCAGATGAGGAGACTGAGGCACAGTAAGGTGTGCCATCTCCCTGTAGCCAGTGTGTTCTTAGTATCTGGAGATCTTGAGTGATTTAGGCTCGTGTGTGTGTGTGTGTGTGTGTGTGTGTGTGTGTGTGTGTACATACACCATCAAATCAGATCTGACTTGTACCTGGTACAGGAGTAGATTGCCTCTCCTTCCCCAGAAGAGAATCTGGTGGATCTGTTTACCTCTGGGATTGCAGTGCAGTTTATTGCCACTAGGCCACCAGAGCTTCCTTCAGGCTCTCATTTTGTCCACAGATGTGTTCCCTATCCCCATCTTACAGGTGCCAACTCTAAGACATGGAAACTGTTTTTGAGTTTTGAAGGAAATGGAGAAAGTTGCACAATTAGTCCAAGGAACTAATGGTTTATTATAAGAACCTCAACCTCTACTTCCCAGAGACCAGAAGAACTGGATGGTGCCCAGTTAGCATTGTTAACCCTCCACAAGGGATCCCTGGAGAGGGCTCTGAAATCATAAATGGTCCCAGATAGTGCCTGAGAGCAATGTGGAAAAAAACTCTAAAGTAAAAAATGACCAGTGTCTAACAAAAGTTGATGGAACCCAAGAGACTATGACCCCTAGAAACTCTTTAAGCCTAGAACTAAACTGATCTTTGCGGTTCATCCTTCAGCCAAACAACTTTGTAGTTATTAGTTGCCACGGAGTCAATTACACCACATATGGACACCATAAACAACAGATTTGAACTTTATACAGCACTATCTCTGATATGCTGAAGCCTGTTAGAACAGTCACTGTGTCAATCCATCTCATTGAGGGTCTTTCTTTCTTTGAACTTTCACCTTTCCCAGCATGACATCTTTTCCCAAGGACTGGCCCTTCCTGACATACATGCCCAAAGTATACGAGGTAGAACACCCCGGTTACGCTTCCTCCAAGAGAGACTTGTTTGTTCTGTTGGTGATCCATGGGATATTCAGTATTCTTCTCCAAAACCATGGTTCAAAGTCATCAATTCTTCTTTAGTCATCTTTATTCATTGTCAAACTTTCAGATGCATATTGTTGCTGTTAGGTGCTATCGAGCTGAGTACAACTCACAGCACTCCTATTAACAGTAGAGCTGAACTCTATCCTTTCCTGTGTCCTCCTCACCATTTCTGACCTACGTGAGCCCATTGCTGCAGACACTGTGTCGATCCATCTGGTTGATAAGGGTCTTTCTCTCTATTGCAAATCCTCCACCGTTCCAAGCATGACATCCCTCTCCAAGGAATAGCCCCTCCTAGCAACATGCCCAAATTATGTGAAATGAAGCTTTGTCATCTTTGTCACCAAGGGAGCACTCTGGCTGCACTTTCTCTAAGACATATCAGTTTGTTCTTTTGACAGTCCATGGGATATTCATTCAGTACTCTTCTTCAACACCATAGTTCAAAGGCATTCACTTTCCTTGTCATCCTAATTCAGATAGAGGCATGTTGTTGCTGTGTGCCACTGAGTTGGAACTGATGCATAGCTGACCCTCCAGCGGGTTTTCAGAGGCAATAATTGCATGGAAGGAGATTGCCCACCCTTCTCCCATGGAGCAGCTGATAGAGTCATGACCTTTGGGATGGCAGCAGTTTCTTAACACTAGGCCACCAGAATTTAGGAAGCAGTTCAAAATACCAGGGCTTGGATCAGGTGCACTTTGGTCTTTACAATGACATGCTCTTTTTAGAGAGGTCCTTGATAGATTTTTTTTTACAGTGCAACTTACCAGTCAAATAATAGACATGCTTATAAGGTGAACAACAGCACCAGTGAAAGGGTTCAAATGGGAGCGAGGGAGGAGGGAAGCAAGGAAAAGGGGGAGGAATTCTCAGAAATTCAGATTTTTGAAAAATAACCTGTTAGTAAGTAACTTCTGCCCTGAAAGTGGTAGTTGAGGGCTATGCCAGTGGATTTGGGTGACTCTCTCTTTGCCTGCCTCTTGGGGCCCACAGAACTCTCAGTACGTTCTCACCCTGCGCCTGTCACTTTGGTTACTCCCTAGAACAGCCAGTCATACAAGAGCAATGGGACAAGAAGGGATAGAACAGAAGGACAAAAGGCAATGAGAATCACAGGGACAACATGGGAAGTGTGTTCTTACAATGTGGGTCTGTAATTAATTACATAAAACAAAATTGTCCCAAGTTAAAAAAAAAAAACAAAATTGTCATGAATGACTGAATGGGGAAATTAACTGCCCTATAAACTGACCCCTAAAAGTACAATTCAAAAAAGAGAGAGGGGGAAAGAAACTGAAATTAACTAGAATAAACTATTTCCTCAAAAACCAAACTGATAGACATTCCTAATACAGTTACCTACACTCCAGCCCACACACCAGTGTGTGAGAGTCCCTGGCCTTAGCTAATGGTTAACTTTGGGCGTATAGGTGGGTTTGAGGAAACAAGGGACCTATTTGGGTGATGAGAAGATTGAGCAGAGCCAGGGCGAGCAGGAGACATGAGGCCTCCACCTAAGAGCAAAATGTTAAAGGCACCAAACAGTTGGTTATTACTGTTAGTTGCTCCAGAGACCAGGACGACTCACAGTCATCCCATGAGTGCAGAGCAGAAATGCTTAAGGTTGTGGCCTTTCCAGCAGATTTCTGCCTCCCTTCCAAGGCAATTCTGAGTGGGTTAAAACTGCCAGGCATTTGTGCCACTTATACAAATCAAAATAAATGCCACTTATACAAATCAAAATAAATGTTAGAAAGTTTGTAAGGAGTAAAACATCAATATTTTAAATAAAGACAGGATCTGGCCCTGTGTTACCATAACTCACTTCTTGTTGCTGTTGTAATTAGATTCTATCAAGTCATGCTCGCTGCACAGCCACCCTATGAACAGATCAAAACCTTGCACCATCTCCACAATCTCCATAGTTATTTTGAAGGCCATGGTTGTAGTCACTGTGCCAATTCACCTCCTGGAGGGGGTTCTTCCTCCACCCCTCCCAGCGTGATGTCTTTTTGCAAGGACTGGTATTTCCTGGCAACATGGCCAAAGTATATGAGAAAAAGCTTTACCTCTAAAAGTTTATCCTTTCCTCTAAGGAGTTTTAAAGAATGTGTAACTCACTGCCAAGCCAGTTGGAGCTGACCCTCGGCAGGTTTTCAGAGGCTGTCAATCTCCCGAGAGAAGAACTGCCTTTCTCCTGCTGAGCTGCTGGTGAACTGAATCAGGCTGCTTAGGTTAGCTGTGCAACTCCCTCCAGAGTACACCACCGGAGCCATACTGTTGTTGTTGTTGTTATGTGCCATAGAGTCAGAACTGGCCCACAGCTGAACCTCCAGCGAGTTTGCAGAGGCAGGAAATCGCACGGGAGGAGACTGCTCATCTTTCTCCCAGGCAGTTGGAACTGCATACCAGAAGAGTAAACAAGAAGACTCTGTGACCTCTACCAGCCCTGAGGTCCTCAGCATAACGTAAGAGGCCCTTCAGAATGTGGCTGAAATCTCTGCCACTCCAGCCACTGAGGCAGAGAAGGACTTGACTTTACTCTCTTTGAAATGCCTCCCTCTCATTCTCTGCAAACTCCCATCACTCAAGTTCTGCTCAAAAGCCATCTCCACCCTGCGGCCTGCGATAGCTCCACAGGCTGTCAGACAATGCATTTCAAGATCGCACTGTCCCTTTGTGTATCAGTCTGGGTTCCATCAGAGAAACAGAACTGGTAGGATACGTGTTTGAAGAGATTTATTAAAGCTGTGGTGGCTGACTGGGTGAGTCTGAAATCTGTAATACAAACCAGGAGGGCGAGCTATCAGGAGAAGATGGCTGGGACATTCAGCACAAGCTGAGGCTCCATTCCACAGGCACAGCACCTCCTTCAGAGAAACCTCGGTTCTCCTCTTAAGGCCTTTTCATCGGACTGAACAAGGCCTCCTTCAATAAGTGCCTTTATTTACTTAAAGGATTATAATCAACTGACTACCACATTCAAAACTCATCTACTTAAACAAGGTGACTATGCATATAGCGTTCATGGTGTCCATAGAGAACTACAGTGATTTTCCAGGGCATTTAGAGGTTTACAAAAACAGGTATCACACACCTGACTTGGACAGATTTTAATCACAGCTGAAAAATCTGCTGTCAGGGACCTCTCCAGAGTACTCAGTCTGGAGACTAAGGTGCACCTGATCCAGGCCATGGCCTTCACAATTACTTGCTATGCATCAGAGAGCTAGACAATGACTAGGAAGGAGATTTGGTACCTTTGAGCTGTGGTGCTGGAGAAGAGTTTTGAATATACCATGGACTGCTAAGAAAACAAACAGGTTCATCCCAGAGAGGGTTAAACCAGGCTGCTCCTTGGAGGCAAGGATTCTGAAGCTTCGTCTGACCTACTTTGGGCATGTTGCAAGGAGGGACCAGTCCTTGGAGAGGGACGTCATGCTTGGGAAGGTGGAGGTACAGCATAGGAGAGGAAGACCCTTGATGAGATGGATTGATTCAGTGACTGGGATAACGGGTGTAGGTGTGTCAGAGACAATAAGATTGGCTCAGGATAGAGCAGGATTCAGAACTGTTGTACATAGGGTTGTTATGAGTCTCAAGCAACTTGATGACACTTCACAACAACAAACTCTCTTCACTCTCTTCACTTAGATTAGTGTTTGATCAAATAACTGAGGATATAGCCTAGCAAAGTTGACATGTCCAAGTGACCTTCACCTTTTGTTCCAGCCCTTGGTACACAGGCTGAGTTATAATTCACAGTCTGACCCTGGTAACAAACAATGAAAGAATATAAGCTGTGGTGACGTCATGCCTCCAGTACTTGGTGTCGGGTCAGTCAGACACACAGTGAGGGTTCAATTAATGCTAAGACTGCATCACATCACACACTCACCTCCTCAGGCATCCCTTTGAACTCCAGGTTTGTTTCATATACAGTCAGCCTAATCCTAACTGATATAACTTCAAGAGAACTCCCACAAAGTCTGGCTATGATCATCAGGCAGTTCTAAACCATGCTGAGAGGCCCTTGATAGTGTGCACAGTCGGGTTAAGTGCAGGAGAGGTTACTCTCAAAATGCAACCAACATGAACTCCTAGAGGTTCTTTGCCAGAGGCGACAGTGATAATCTAATCTTGTAGTTTCCAAAACCTACACCTGAAATCCCATAAAAGGGGACTGAGTGAGACTCTCCAGTTGCTTTCCATGAAACAAGAGCCCTGTTAAGTCCACTGTTTTGAACCTCCTTATTGTGTTGCATTTAAAGAAGTTTTTCTAGTACCTTCCTTCCTATTTACTGGAGGGACAAGGCCAAGGGAAACAAGCTTTCTAATGCCACAGCTGTCTTCTGTAGAACTGGAAACCAACATGAATAACAAGATATTGTCAAAACTGCCAGATGTTTGTCAATAAGCATTCTCCTGTTTCTTAAGTTGTCAGGTTACATAGAGACTATGACAATGACCCCGGGAACAAGAGATTGAAGCCTTATCCTATGCTGTGCCATCCTCATGATCTTTGCCATGCTTAAACTTATCACCGCAGTCACTGAAGCAATCTGTCCTGTGAGTGGATCCCCTGATCTCCACTCTCCACAAGGGTTCCTACTTGGGTTTTCCTGATTTCCCAGCCTCCCTGGTAGCCAGGCATATTAAATGTGCCACAAATGGGCTCTACCTGGTGAGACTTAGGGGGAATGTGCTAAAACAAACCTCCTTACTCCTGGCTGGATTATGGAACTAGTTGGGCCATAAAGCTGAGAATGGGAAAACCAAAAATATTAACATAAACTAGCTGATTATCTCCTTCCAGCATCCATTTATATGAGAGAAAAATGAACTTTTATTGAGATAGATGTGACTAGTCCACTCTTTTTGTAGATTGTGTGTCATATGCAGTCAATTAAATCTTAACTGTCATAGAGGGAGCTCTGGCGGCTTGGTAAGAAGTGGCAAAGGTAGCCTAAAAGCAAGTGGTTCAAATCCACCAGCTGCTCTGCCAGAGAAAGATGGGCAATCTTCTCGGATTTGATTTACAGCTTCTGAAAGCTCACTGGCTGGTCAGCTATGAGTTGGTTCCAATTCGACAGCAATGAGTCTGAGGGTTTGTTTGTTTGTTTTTTTTTTGTCTCTTTTTTTTCAGACAGTGGTGTAATTATAAGAGAACTCCTCCCCAAATCAGACTCAGATAATGCGATGGTTTTAAAACGAAGCTGTGAATTCTTTCATACTCCCTCTCTTTGGGTCAGGGCTAAGCTGTTAACTGCTTTGACCAATAGCAAGCGTGATACTCTGCAGCTTCTGAGACAATCTAGAAAGAAAGGGCCATGCCACTTCCAATTTGTTCTTGGGATTGTTTGTCATGGGGCACTGAGCTTCCATGGAAGAAACTCACCTAGGTGGAGTCCATCATGTTGCAGAGAATGTGGATACACACTCCAGTCAATAGTGCCACGCAAGGCCAACCTTTCATCAGCTTAGCCAGCCCTGGCATCAGACACATGAGTGAAGAGGCCACCTTGGAAGAAGTTCCCATACCGCTGGCCATTCAAGTCATCTCAGCTGTGGTCCAGACATAGAAAAGAGATGTTGCCTTTCTAAACTCCTAGTCCACAGAATCCACGACTGTAAGAGAATGGCAGCTGGCTTAGACCACAGATTTTTATGTGTTTTGTTGTGCAGCAATAAATAGCTAGATAAACAATGATTTTAATCAACATTTTCTGTTGATTAAATAAGATTTTCTCTTGATTAAATAACATTTGCTGTTATTGCTGTTTACTTAAATTCATAATGACTTCATAAATAACAAACCAAAACCTTGGCCTATCCTTTACCATCCTCGCCATATTCACCAGGTTCAAACTCACTGTCACAGCCCCTGTGTCAATCTAGCTCACTGTGAGTCTTCGTCTTTTTTATTGATCCTCTACTGTTACAGTATGATGTCCTTTTGCAAGGACCGTCCCCTCGTAATAATATATCCAAAGTATACGAGGCAAAGATGCACCACCTTTGTCTCCAAGGAACATAGTGGTTGCCTTTCCTCCTAATTAAGGAAATGTCTATTGAGCTTCCTAGGTACTAGACACATTGTGTTGTTGTTGTTGTTGTTAACTGCCATTGAGTCATAGGCAACTCATAGCGACCCTATGAACGAAAGTCCTCAACACTTGCGTGTCTTTCATCCTTTCTCCAGGCTCATAGGGTTTCCAGAAGCAAGCTATTATGGAAGTGGATGCCACTCCTGCTTCCAAAGACACATTCTAGTGAATGAAATATGCATTTGTACTTATAACAGTATGCTTTAGAATCTACTCGTATCAGTTACATATTAAAACACTAATTTATTAATACTATGACCCATATTTTTAATCCCATGAGGATTTTAAGAGCTTTAATAGTAGAGCCCAATCTAATTTAGGGATCTAGGGTGGTTTCTATGAACTGCTATGTTTACATGAGTACTTGAATACTAAAATGACAGCAGAGATTTGAAATCGTATCTTAGAGCCATCTGGAACTGTCTCTGCTGGCACTTAGAATGGTTTTGCACCTCTCATGAATAAGACTGTAAACTATATATGTAAATTTTTTCCCCTAGGGAAAAGTTCTAGAAATTTTTATCAAATATTCTTTTTAGGAGATCCTCAAGCCAGTAAATGTCAGGAAGCAAGAATCTGGTCTAATTCTGCCATTTCACAAATATGAAGTCTTGGTTCCAGAGTGGGGAGAAGGTCTTGAGGGAGTCAGCGCCCCACACAGAGTTAGGATCCGACCTGACTTCCTTTATCATACAGTCCTTGTTTGCTGATATTTCTCTGCTCCCCACACCCCAAACCTTCTTCCTCCCACCCTGGTCTACTTCCAAGGAAAGAAGGCTTCAGTGATCTCCCCATCTACCAGGAGGGGACTGGATTTGGAGTAAGTCAGGAAAGGCAACTTCCACCTGCTGCTGCTGAAAACAGACCTGTGGCAGGTAGCCCCACCCACAGAGCCCAGGGCCACATTTGCTTCCCAGGCTTGGCTGCATCAGCATGGCAGGTGTGAAAGCCAGGGCCTGGATCTGTGCCTTGGCTTCTGTCCAGACTCCCAGTAGACTGCAAGATCTGAGATCAGATTAGAAAACGGAGGAGGATTACAACTCCTAGGATCTTGGGTCGGTTTACCAAGTGGCATGCTTCCCAACCAAGGCTCAGCTACATAAAGAGAATGATGGAATGAAACCTTAGAAAACAAGGTTCAAGTCCCAAGCCTTGAATAAAAGCTGTCACTTACCAAGCACTCATTGTGTGTTGTTGTTAAGTGTGGTCTAGCTGACTCCAATTCATAATAACATAGGGTCCAACTGATTGAAATTGCCAGATCCCGCACCATCCTCTGAATAGCCATCGAGGTGAAACCCACTGTTGCAGGTCCCGTGTCAATCTGTCTCACAGAGGGTCTTCCTCTCCTTTATTTTATCCTCTGCTTTTCCATGTGTATACTGAGTGCCTTCCAACCCGAGGGGCTCACCTTCCAGCTCTGTTTCAGACAATGCTTTGGTGTATGCTGGAAATTACAAAGCATAAAGACTATAGCCTTTATTATGGATTACACCTCAATATAAAGAAAACAAAAATCCTAATAACTGGACCAATAAACAATATTCTGGTAAGTGGAGAGAATGTAGAAGTTGTCAAGGATTTCATTTTATTGGGAGCCATTGGATCCACAATAAACGGCTATGGGAGCATCAATCAAGAAAATCAAGTGGGTAAATCTGCTACAAAAGAAACTTATTTAAAGGGCTAAAGGTCAAGGATGTCACACTGAGCTGTACTTGACAAAAGTCTTGGCATTTTCATCACCTCATATACATGGAAAGGCTGGATAGTGATAAAGAAGACCAAATAAGAATTGATGACACTGAATTATGGGACTAACGAGGAATATGGAATATATTCAAGTTTGTCTGTCTTGGATGCAGTACAGTGACGTTACACCTTAGGGAGCTCTGGTAGGCCTAGGAGTAAGAAGCTGCACTGCAATTCCAAAGGCACACGGTTCAAATCCAACAGCTACTCCATTGGGAGAAGGATGGGCAATCTTCTACCGTGAAATTAATTGCCTGTGGTCACCTATGAGTCAGTTCTTACTAGACAACACACAACAATAATTACAAGTGAGGCTTCGAGACCTAGTCTCACGTACTTTGGTCATTTGCTCAGAAGGGAGTGGAAAAAAAGATATCCTGTTTGGTAATGCAGAGGGTGAGTGAATGAAAAAGGAAGCTCCTCAATGAGACGAGCTGACACAGAGGCTGCAAGCCTGGCTCCACTATGTTACGGTTACAGGTGGCCCTGAGTTGCTCCAACTCAGATGCAACAGTGTGAAATCCTGCCCAATCCTGCACCGTCCTCGGAATCTGTGCTGTGCTCAAGTCCATTGTCACAATCACTGTGTCAACCCACCTCCTGAGGGTCTTCATCTCCTTTGCTGATTCTTTACTTTTCAAGCACGATGTCCTGTCCTACTCCAGGGAGTGGCCCCTCTCAACAACATGTCAAAGAGGACGTGCTCAAAGAGTGTCTTGGATGCACTTCGTCCAAGATGGATTTGTTTGTGCTTTTAGCAGTCCGTGGTTAATTCAACACACCATAATTCAAAGACAGCAATTCGTCTTTCTTACATGGGGCTCAAACACAACCATGGTTGTGAGAATGGCAGACACAGTGTTTTAATCTATACACAGTGTCCTTGTGAGTTGGAACCAATTTGATAATACTCAACAACAACAACACAGGGTCTGGTGCACATGGCCATTTAAGCATTAGTGGGGAAAAGAGCCTATTCATTCAATGACAAGGGGGCAACTTGACAGGCATTTGAGGAGGAAAAAAATTCAATCTCTACCTCACACCTTCT